TAATTAAAAAAACAGGATAGAGCAGTACAAATCAATAAGGATAATCAGAAAAACTAATTCAAAATGAGAACTGGAAGGTGATGAGAAATAAATACATGAAATTAACACATGAAGTGCGAAAAAAATGTTCATATTCAACAAGATATAAATATGAATGCCTCATGAGGCAAGTCTTCCACTTCCCTGAGTAGTGCCAGAATTGGCATAAGGTTATACCTCACAAGCAGACCAACAAAATGAAGAGCTTTAGAAAACAGTTTCTGAGGAAAATGTAAAACAAAGAAACAAAAACAAGAAAAAAACCCACTGTTTGTCTACTATGGGCATCCAGAAATTGAAAATGCATACTAGAAAACAGTAAGAAAATCTACTGCAAATATAAAAGGAAGACATGAATTCTGCATCTACTGAATAGGACAAGAATGGTGACTTTTCAAAGCTGCCAGTTAAATTAATCAGAAGACAAGAAAGGAGTGAAGATCTGGAACATGCTACTTACTGCAATTTTGAAAATATTTCACCCAAAGCTATCAAGAAGAGATAAAGATTCATGGAGCAGTTCAAAGGATTAGATGACCTCCCAAGTTTCCCTCAGCCCAGTTGTTTTCTGATTATGTATGTACTCGGAAGCAAAATATTTACAAGAATTGCTGCCAATGGAATTCTCAGATTTATCAGAATGAAAACAGTTAATTTTATATGAAACATTTGCAATAAATATTTGCTAAGATACTGATGCAAAATTTGGAAAACAGTGCAAATACAATTCTTCATTGTTGTGACTCGGGAATGGTTGCTATGTTAGCATCAACACAGAGACACTGTATTCTCCAAAACTGGAACATCTGCTTTCCCAAGCCAGTTCCCACTGACCACTATAAACTCATGATTATTTATAATTTTTTGGAGACTTTAACAAACACACTGTTTTTAATCTTTCTTATTTACTAACACTTTCATTTGCTTACAGAGACCTATGATCTTCATTGCTCTGCAAAGATTCATCCTTTGAGACCTAGCTGAAGCCCATGTGGCCCTATTTCCACTTCCTGAATTGCGGTCCAAGTCAAAATTAACTTAAGAGATAATGATATTTATTAAGCAACACACTATTAAAAAAATGAATATAATTATTGGTAACCAACAAGCTAATATATACATGGCTATTACTAATTTACAATTCTGTTACTTTTCACACTATTATGTTCAATTACAATACAATGCTCCTTAATGTTAAAAGCAACAACAACTATTATGGCATTGAATTACATCACTCCTAAGGTACAAGTCTATTTGTAGTCCTGGGCACATAACAAATGCCAAGTGGCCAGCCACACACTCCCAGTGGAGGAGAACACATTGCACCAGTCAGTAGCACACCTAAGAACGCTGGGATATTCACAGACACACAGAGTACAAGAAGAGCAGGGAAGGTAGAACATACAGTTTTGCAGTGCCAGCAGACTAGAATTGGTTAGAGAAAATTTTTAATTTGCTACCTGCTCATTTAATTGTGTGTCTGTGTTCTTGCCATGCTACTTAATGAGAAAGCTGCAATTTTTTTTTTGGAGGGGAGAGAGAGGATTCCTCTCTGTAGTGACTGCATATCTTTCTCCTCATTAGTGTTGCAAGTCCTGAGCTTCCCAGCTCAGCCCTAAAGCAAAGAGACTTCCAAAACAGTCATGCTTAACAGTCCTGCAAAACCACCCAGTTTGCATAAATGCCTGGGATTGCCCCAACCCAAGAGCAGTACCCAGCAGTTCACCTTACTGAACCTCATCAGGTTTTCAGGGGGGGGTCACTTCTCCAGCCTATCCAGGTTCCTCTGGATGGCTTCCCTTCCCTGCAATGTATTGATTGCACCACTCAGCTTGGACTCATCTGCAAACTTGCTGAGGGTGCACTCGATGTCATCATCTATGTCATTGATGAAGACGTTGAAGAACACTGGTCTCAAGACCGACCACTGAGGGACACTGCTTGTGACCAGCCTCCACCCTAACACAGAACCGTGTTGTACAGACGAAGTACATGAAATAGTAGAACACAAAGTATTACAAAAAAAAAGTACAATAAGAGCTTTTACATTTAAAGATAAAAAACACTTTAACTGAATTCATAGAACTCATTTTAATTTGTTTTACTATATACATTCATTTAAGAGGTTTATCAATTGTCTTCTAACATCTTAATGGTAATGGACATTAAGTTTTTAACACAACTGGTGATGTGCAGTTAAAAGTATATGCCCACAGGATAAATCAGAACCAAACCCTTTGGTAGGCCAAGATGAAGCCTCTGTACTTTCTACACTATGCTATACACACCTCTGTTGAAAGCACTGAAATTAAGCACCTAGGGCATAGACTGCTGCTGTGTAACAGAAGAGCAAAGGGCTCCTTTTCTCAATCACAGCATCAGGTTGGTGCTGCTGCTGCTGTTAATAGGGATAGGTCAGGGTACCATAGCTCAATTCTGCTGGAAGCAATGAGACTCTTCCACAAGCAACAATCAGCACTCATTCTGTTCATAGCACAAGTTTAATTCTGTAGCTTTTATGTTGTTCTATTTTCCCCTCTCTATTTTTCCCCTGCAGTTCTCTATTCTACTTGACCATTTCCCCACACCCTTTCCACTTTCATAGAAGCAGGCCAGCACCCGACCCTCTTCCCAGAACAGCTGAATTTTGCCTTGTGGCTGTCACAGCAACCAGACTAAAATAAAACAGCTTGGAGGGAGCTAACATCTTCTAACAAGACAGAAGCTGAAACATGCCAAGAACATCTTAGATTCACAATTATGTATAAAGTTGGCCAAAAAACTAAGACTGTTTCAAACTATTTGCAATGCAAAAAGTACTCCCACCCAGTGCATTATTTTTATTTCAGAATTCTGCTAAAGCACTCCCTGACCAATTTGTCTTGTCTCCCTTCTGTTTCAGATCTACTAAGAAGTGAGACCAAGGTCTCCCTGTAGACAATATCTGTTTCCACAGAGGAGAAACTGATCTATCTCATTTTTCTATTTGTCCAACATGTCTAGTTTCAAGTTCATTTCTGAAATTTAAAATGCACCTTCAAAATTTCACTGTCATCATCCGTTACATATTGACTTGTTCTGAATGCCTGCACTATGCACCATGAAAAGAGGAAAGACTTGGGAAACAGTAAGAATGCTCAGAACTATGTGATGTAGAGAGGAAGCATGATACAGGGCAGTGCTGAGAAAAAGACAACTACAAAAGGAGCTCAAAAGGAGACTGTACCTTCCCCTTCTTGGGAACACAGAAGATGCAACCAGACCTGGCTGTGTGGTTTTCTCCTGTTCAAAATGAATAATAAGTCGAGTGAAGCTATGATTGGGAGAAAGAACCTGCCCCTAAAGGATGCAGAAGAGGCAGAGGGAACACAGATGTATGTCTTCCAGTTGTGCTTTATCTTACATACCTTTAAAGACTTAGGCATTTCAATGGATATTCAATGCATGTCCCGGATTTTCCTGATTTAAAAGCCTTTTTATCTTTGAAGAACTTACTGTAAGGAAATAACTGGAATAGGTTCATCTCAAAGTTCCAACTAGATCTGCCAGTGTAGAAACTACCCAGTCTAAATGTTGACAATAAGCAGCACTTTCATGCTTCTAATCCATATTTACAAATATAGATTGGTTTTATTTCAGGATTATATCTAACTATGAAGAACTTGATAAAATATATTTTGAATACTGTCCCACTGGATTTATTGCTATGACTGCTATAAAGCCATCATGTGTCACTGAACAAACATTTTATCAATGTCTTCTATTACATTTAGGTTTGGTCTCTGCCCTCAAAGACAGAAAGGTTGGGCTTGCACATTTTACCTCTTTCATCTGAGTACTTTTTAATACCTACATTTGAAAGAATGCTTACTCGTAAATCAGTTGACTAAGCCACATAAAATACTATTTTTTACATATTGTTGAAAGCAATTAAACAGTGAAATGAGAACTTTGAACACATATGTTAAGAAAGAGGGCCATAAAGAGCATGTTTTCTACATGGACATTTTCTACATTAATAAACTTAATTTCTCCTGCAACGTATTTATAACAACAAAGCTCTAAATGCTTGAAATATTAGTATGAAATACAGTATCTAAAGTAGTACATATTTTTTAGTAATCTCATACTTGAAAGAATCCCTGCCAAGTTCATGAATCACTGCTGTTTTCTTACTTTAGAAGTCAGCTGGGAAGCCAACATCCATGTGATGCACCTCTTTTCTCATAAATGGTGGAATCCGTACAAGGTTATATAGGTAGATTTAACTAGATGCACACCATGAACTCCTGTTTCAAAGAGCTTTAGATATAACTCTGCTTTGTGGACAAGTTTCGATTTGATTACTGTGGTGAGTTGATGCACCTGGCATAATCAGTTCTTTGCCTGGTGATAGTGATAGCACTGAACCACTGTTTATAACATCTAGGTAAAACTAATTTAATGATTACTGAACAAATATAGTTTTAAAAGACTGCCCTCTAGTCCCCACAAATTCTAACCTGACTATCAAGTTAACTTAGAAACAATGGACTGCTCTGTTCCAGAATTTTCATTGGTGAACTCATCTACCCATTTAAAAGCATTTTAATAGCATGTATTAAATGATATAACGTATATCAATAGAATACCTTAATAACACATATAAATTGGAATGGCTTATCTTCTCACAGTGTTGGTCCAATTGTTTCTTGGGTCTGCTTTTTCTAGAAGTTTGGAACTCTATCTCCTCCTATTTTCATTCAGTAAGAACATTATTTGCCTGTGGCTCTGCTATTGGCAAGCCTATGAATATGTCTGAAAAGCACTTTGTAGCTTTTCTGCTTTTGTAGCACTTTCCACTACAAATCAACTAGAATCCACATTGATTAAGACCTAATACATACACATTGATTAAGACATAATACAACATTCAAGTCAATAAACCTACTGAAAGGCAAGGTAACATTAATTCAAATTCTGTTTCATATTGTTCTTATTATCACAGATTCTGGCTGGTCCAGCGTTGACCTGGCAGACAACTGCATTTGCCTGTAAAGTAAGGAGAAATTTGATTTATCTTCTGTTCATTATCTGAAATCGCTCACAGAACCTATTGGTAACAAAGTTGCAAAGTAAAGATCTGAAAGACTAGAGGAGGCACACCCAGGAGGGGAGTAAACTGTTCAGAAGGGCTGATAACAGCAGGACTAGGGGAAATGGTTTTAAGTTGAAGGAGGGAAGATTTAGGTTGGATGTTAGGGGGAAGTTCTTTACTAGGAGAGTGGTTAGGCCCTGGAACGGGCTGCCCAGGGAGGTTGTGGATGCCCCGTCCTTGGACGTGTTTAAGGCCAGGTTGGACGGGGTCCTGGGCAACCTGATCTGAATGTGTATGTTTGGTGGCCCTGCTAGGCAGGGGGATTGGAACTACATGATCCTTGGGGTCCCTTCCAACCCGGGTGATTCTGTGATTCTGTGATTCTGTGATTCTGTGAGGCAAACAAAAAAATTACAATAGTAAAAATATACATTGTTCATGTCTAAACTGTGCTCATTAGATAATCGTTTTCATTTGTATGAGGAGCACATTTTTGAGGCAAATCCCCTGATTAGACTAGAGTTTGTTGGCAACACACTGTCCTCAGCATCATGTTCTAGTCTGCATATTTATTCTTACTGCTTGCTAACTGAAACAGTCATTTGTTTCCAGAAAGCTGAGCACTTATTTCTTGTAGAGTACCCTGGAAAAATATATATATGTGATTGCCTATTCCACAGTTCCAAATGCCTAACTACTTTTTCTCCATCTCCGTAATTTTATTTATTTATTCATTAATATGTACAAGCTCTACTCCAGGAGAGTCTGAGAGAGAGTTAAACTAATTATAAAAAATACACCCAGTCTGTAGAAGTCTTCAATTCAAACCATTACATCAACAATAACATTGTATATTACAGCCCCCACATTCCAGATGACACCTACTTTTATGGAATAGGCCTCTTCTTCTACTGTACAACAAAAAGCCTCTTTAGAAGAATATTGAGATATCAACTGAAAATCACAATAAAAACATCTGTTCTAATTCTCTGTGCAACATCTTTTGACTCATCAAAACATATAGGAAAGCATTCACTTACAAATCCATTTAATTCTTTAGTTATCCAAAAGAAGACCCTCATAAAATTTGCCCTAATCTTTTATTTTGCTTCTGTTTCTTAGAAGACTTTAAAGGTTCAAGGGAAGACTCGGTAATCAGGTAACAAAATGTTTTTCATTTTATCCACTACATTTCTTCACAGTTCTGTTTTTCCCTCTTAAATCAGCCCTCCCCCCATTTGCAACCTGTTGTGCGTTCATACAAAGTCTTTGTTAAAGGTCAGGATGAAATTCAAAGGCACTGTTATTAAACAAAGTGAAGTATTGCCTAATTTCCATCTAAATTCTTTCATTATTTACTACCACCTTATAATCAAAGGGGCAGAATTATTCATGATAATGAAGTACATTATGGAAGTCATCTTTCAAGTGGTTAAACTAATTTAAACTTGATTCATTGTCTTGCAACAGTTTGCACACACTCTTAGAAAAGATTAATTGTGATTTACCCATTTACTATTTCTAAGGAAGTCTGAACTGTATCTTTCTGTCACTGCCCAGGAATGCTGGATTTGCTGTGTTCCTACGATTAAAACAGATCATTCCATGTTCTAGGGTCCAAATGTGCTCTGCTGCAGGGTACATTTAAATACTGAGTTTTAAAAGACCTCCTATAACCTGGAAGATGGATAAAGGCTAAAAAACAGCAAAAATCCTTTCCTACAGAAGCTCATTTCAGACAAAATGCTCTTCTCACGTATGTAAACCTTCCGATGTAAGAAACTGATAGCAACTGTAAATGTATTGAAGCATAATTTTCCTATGTGTTTTGTGATTTTAAAAAAGCATTCCTGTTTACATGCAAATTTTACCTGACAACATATGCCTTTTTTGTGTTGTTTTTTTCTCTGAAAAAGCATAAGCAAATTAAATTGAATTTGCTGGTCTTGAGTCTTCATTCTGTATACACAGGCACGTATTTAGAGTCAAGTTTGATCAGTACATCAAGACATGGTCAGATTTATTTTGGTGTGACAGAGCAATCTCCACTAATTTTGGAAGCTGGCATTAAGCCACAGGGAAGATCTACTGCTGTAGTAAACACTGCAACCTGAAGAAAATACTTTCATACTTAAATCCAACTATTCCTAGGTAACTAGTAAATAAAGGCTGTTAAATCCTAGCTGGAGATACACAAACATGCTACTTTTCTCTGTTTTCTCCCTCTCATCTCCACTAAAGATACGTGCAATTGTTCTAGGTCTTCAATTAAAATTCCACAAAGGAAAATGGCTGAGAGAAAGCTATTCACAGCAGCAATTAAAGTCTCAACATTAATGAGGGCTCAGTCTTAGAAGAAGCATGAAAAAATGCATCCTGAGACACAACCAGTGAGAACAAAGAACAAAATCCTGCATCAGAGCAAAGGGAAGGCATCTGAAGGAACGTTTTCACCAACATACATGACCTCGACATTGATGGTGCCTCATTTTCCTGTATCCTATGCTAAAATAATCCTTAAGTGAGACCTATGAGACCTGCTTAATAAACTACTCACCACAATAGAGTGTTGAAAGCTTAAAAAATTGTCTTATTTCCTTGAAAATAGCTGTTAAAGTTTTTAGGTAGAAAAAATATACTCCAGGTCTTTCATTCATATGTACAGGAAAAGCCACTACAGGAATCACCAGGCAAGAACATACACTTATTTACTTGAAATAGATTTTTGTTATCTTGGCTCCTCCTTCAACCTTCCAAATCAACCCAAAAAGATGATTCTCTTGAAAAGTCACTGAAAAAAAAAAAACATAATTCTTAATGCAGCAAAGTAATTTCATTGCAGAGAATTCCTCCAGAATCTCCCCTTCGGCTTAAAGTAAGCTACGAAAATAACACTCTGCTTGGGATAGAAAATAGGCTTTTGTAAGGTCCTTACAAAAGATACAAGAAAAATAAGTGATACCAATAATGTTTTGTATTTCCAAAATTTCTCATACTGACTCAAAAGTATGTTGCTCTCAGGACTCGACAGCAATACTGGTAGAAAGAGCAGTAAAATACTGCAAAAATTACTCTGGAGTTGAAGACTATTGGCCGATAAAACTTGCCTGGATCAAAAAGCCTGTGTCTTAAAATAAATCAAAGACCTATCTGTGCATTTGTGAGCTTTATTTTGAGGTCCTATTCAGCAGGTGCAGATCTGTTTCATCACTACCAAACCTCTTCTGAATCAACCATCTACTGCAAGTCTTAATATTGCTTTCTCTCCTTACAACCTGCACCACACTGCTCACATCTCACACATCTAGGAACACAGAAAATAGTGTGCATGCTTAGGGTGTGTGTGGGGGGTGTTCAAAGGTCTTTCACAGCATATTTTTTCCCTTCAACAAAATAGAGTGCCTATCATAACAGAGGGGAAAAATAAACACTAACAAAACCAATAATCCTTCCGTACTGGATTTTTGGAATATTTTTCACTCTGTTGAGAGATTACGTAATTTGTGCCTCACAGTTTTAAAGTCAAGTGTTTGGGGATGTTTAGGTTACCTTTCCACCAAAACTGTCAGCTCTGGAAAAGATTTAAAAGCTCCAGGCAAACAGATCCTATGCAGTAAGACAGAACTGGCAGCATTTTACTGACTGTGTGCCAAAATGACAACATCAGCCTGTGAGTCAGCCACAGGTCTCTGCGTTCCCGGGCATGCTAAGAGGGAGGAAAAAAAACACAGAACAGCAATCGCTTTTAGTGCTACTACATGGTGATCAGTAAAGATCTTACTTATACTGCCTTCATGCTCAAAGTTACATCAGGAGTATCTCAAGTCTTACATTAGTTTCCCAGTGTTTTCTTACTTCACCTTCTGTTGTGCGAGATAGAGCCAAAGAAAGTTGCTCCATGGTTTATAAATTCAGCACAGCCAGCACAGGCTAATACAATAAAGTCAGTGCCACAGTGTAACTTGTCACTTTCAGAGCATGAGATGAAATGATGCCATCTGTGAGAGAAAATAAAATGGGGAAGTGAGTCACTGCACACTCTGGTAAAATGCTGGAGCTGGAGAGAAAATGATGGAGGAAGGGCAATCAGAAAGCTCAGCTCTAGTGATTACCTCTTAACTCATATAAAGATAGCTTGTTTTAGTCTATACAAGTGTCACATCACAAACCTGTTACACACATCTGCACTTTTATGGTTGTTTAGCTGATGTAATAAAACACACCTGCATTGTTATGACTGTATTTAACTGAAAGCTCTGTAATAGTAGGGCCAATGATACATATTTAAAATTAAAAAATATTCAGCAAGTTCAAATCAGTGTGAACATATAATAGATCATTAATTAGTATTCAATTCACTATGAAATAAACTACTAAGTAGTCAATAAAATCAATTCTTTGCTACTTCAGGTTTTCTGCATCTGAATCACCTTGTATGAAGTTATCTCAAAAATGAAAACCTAGCACAATGCCTGTAACTCAGAAGAGGTTCTGATTTTAAAAGGTCTCCAAATTCTATTCACCATTTTTCTTTTGGGCGATCCAATTTTATGTCAGGAAATAAACATTTCATGATATCCAACATGTGGTATAAAATAGGATTCATTATTGAAAAAGGAAGTATAGTTTTTGAAATGTTTTAACTAACACACCTAAAAAACATGCTGTCACATATGGTTCAACTTGTTCACAGATACTGAATTGGCAAGGTTTTATTCTCCTCTGCTTATAGGCAACAGAAAGATGCAGCATTAACTTTTATCCACCAGGACTCCAGATCTCTACAGCAAATTTCTGATGCACTTCCAACAGTAGTTCAAATGTATAGAACGTTAAAGATATTACCAGTGTAATAAGCAACACAGAGTCAGTTGTCCAGATCAGTTTGTAATAGGTGACAGTAACTTTTACCATATTGCAATAGGCTGCTAAAGAAGATATCAGCAATCTATTCATTGCATATGATTACTCAAGAAGGGCTTTCATTTCTACATTGTTCACCAATAAGTGTAAAAAACAGACCACAGTCCTAAACTACAGGGTGTTCTTAGTTAACTATTACCAGCTCCCAGTAACTCAGAAGAATGCTTGCACAATTGTCACTTAACTATATTGTAAAATAGTTGTAATATATACATTCACATCAGGTGGTTGAATACTGTAAAATCAGTTTCTGCTATTTGCACAGATATTTTATGATTCATTCAACAGCATAAAAAGGAATCAGATTACTAAGTCCTTGCTTGATGTTGTAAAGGTTTACTTTTTCTTTTAGGTCACATGGTGTTCTTCACTTATCTTACTAGTTTCTTACAGAAGCACTGAGAAAGTACTTCCATTCACCTATGCCACACTAAGCTGCAATTGTAGACATCCAAAAAATATAAATCCTCTTTTTGTATCTCAATAATGAACAGACAAATGAAAAATGGATACTGTGTTTGTTTTAACAAGATTTAATAGTACATGGTTTTTATTTCTAAGCAGCTTAATACAGTACCGATTTTTTTTTCCCCACCTGCACCTATTAATTCCACATAATGAAACTAAAGATTCTACTTACCAATTAAAATAAAACTCATAAAACCATTAATGTGACCAAATAATGTGATCACCTTTGGTACCAACACACAGTTATAGAACGGTTGCAGGTACTCAGCTAAGTCCGAGCCAGGTGTGTTCCACATGCAAAAGGAATAGTGCTGGCTGAAATCACTGCAGCGGAGAGGAGCTGACATCAGCTGGTGAGTTGCAACCTGTTAACTTGCAGATAATGTCATTTTTTTTACTGATGCCAGCCCCTTTTCAACTTCAGATTAAGTGTCAAAGCAACCAGAAATAACTGTCTCCTCTACTCAAGACATCATCAGTTAAATGTCCCTTTTCAATGGCATCATAAGCCCATGTTGGATAGCCAAATAATTCAACAGAAGTCAAGGTCAAAAACAGGGAGGAGAGAGGAGAAGCAATCAAGTAGGGAAGGTATTGACATATTACAAGTTACCTGGACCTTGTGATCCAAACAGCCAAAATGAAGACAATTTGGAACATTTACAAATTATTTCAAAGAAATTCTGAAATATGTTAGAAAGTGACAGAAGACAAAAATCAAAATGAAAACAGAATAACATTTTGGATTGCCAGTAACACTGTAATAGAGTACAACCTTTCCATAGACGGCATGCAGGTACACTTGTTTCAGAAGGAAAATACTAATCAACTAGACAATTATTTAATGTAGATTAATAGTTAAAAAGCCCTAAATTTTAATATATACATGAAATTATTGATATTCACTTGTTCTAAAAAAAAAAAAAAAAGTCCCCTAGTATCTTCTCTAAATATTGCCAGAATCTGATTAACTTTATTGCCAGACTATTTACATTTATTAATGGAAGAATTAGACTCACAGTAACAGGGCATGAAGAACACAGGCAGTGAAACCAGTGCTTGAACTAGAGGCCTTTACCATTACGTTTTTCTAACCTTTTTCTGTTTATATTCATTGTTTTCTTCTTATCTACAAGAATTGCCTTGGTGACAGACTAGAGCAACATTTCCCTGTTCTGTACAGTCCACACCCAGCTTCCTCTCTTCTGGCTGCCCACACTGCTTGTTCTATGTGCTCGGCAAACTTTTCTTAATTCACATTATCTGTCCATCTAAATGTCAGGTCTATGCATTCACCTTACAGACCTCTTACAGATTTACCTAAAAAGCCAATTCTGTAGCTCCAGGTTTCTGCGCATCCTGTGACATTTAAATCATCTGAGAGCACATAAGGGAAGTCTGTGGTAACTACTGCATGAAACTATGTGGAAACTACTGCATGGTCTCAATTTTATTTTAGAAATTTCCAGCAGGATTCTAAAACCTGAACTCTATCCTATACCAATATGCTGTCACTGCTCTCACACAGACCACATACTGATACCACTGCCCAGTTAGTGAACTTCAGTAATTTCATTTTGGAATTTGCCAAAACCTACAATTTCAGCCAAATAGGTTTGCTGAAAATCCTGCAATCTGTGGTAGAGAGAAAGCCTGTTAATGAAGAGCACAGTATTTGAGCTACCAAAATCCTCATGTAATTCAGACTCTCATGCCCCATCTGGGGCTGTTGCATGGCAGTGCCTCAGTAAAAATTCACTTTCTTATCTCTATTAAAAAAAAAAAAAAAATGTTGTTCACCAGCATTAAACATACGGAATAGCATCAGAGGCACTGCACCTGCTATCCCTACCAGTATGGCCAGCACTCCCAGCCTGCCTGCCTACTCCACTGCCCCGTTTGAGTGAATGATTTTCTAAGCAGATGGTTACCACTGTTAAACAGATAAATTATAGCCAGCAGAAAGCATGGAGATTGGGATCACTGCCATGGCGAAAAATTGAATAATCTGGAAACAATATTATATATGAATTGACATTCTATTAAAAAAAATACAACTTAAATTTTTAGAGCCCAATATGCTTTGTAAGGAAAGGAAACTTAAGGTTTCCTTTCTTATGCCTGAAACTTTGCAATCATTATGTTTCTGAACTGTATTTTTTCTCATCAGTCTTCTGGTTCCAAATATAATCTTCTATCTGGCAGCAAAGACAGCAAAACATTTGTTTCCTCTCAGTACAGCTGCAACCATTTGGATTTAAAAAAAAATAGTACTGAAGATCCAACACTTCTCTATCACGCTGATTTTTCCAAGACAACATGGATGTTGGGTTTTTTTTCTCATCTACTTTTGAGGGGGAAAATTAGGAGCAAAAATATATTTCCTATGTCTGCTTTTCTCTTCTCATCCAAACTGATAGATGACATTTGATTAAACTCCAGACTAACATATTATGAAGCTTTTCTAATGTATGCTCCTAAAAACTATGTATTTTCTCTTTTTTATTCTTCATCATGCAAATATAGAACATACACAACCCTTCCTTCTACACAACAAATGAAGGACATACATGCTGCAGAAAATATAAATCACCTGAATCTCTCATCAAAATAAAAAGCATTTTCATATGAAAGTATACTGTCGTATTCAAAGACACAGCAAGAACAAATGTTCTTGATAGCAGATAAGAGCTAAATAAACCCCAAATCATGTCATTACATTTAAACACAAAGACAACATTGGAGAGCTCATTGTGGTCTTTTATGTAGAATCTCTGAAAAACTAAACAAATATGTTCCCTTTTCCAGATACATGACAACACATTGGAGGTGGTACAAGAAGTTAGAAATGAAATACCACAATACTTACTTGAAAGAAACAAGTAAACAAAACTGTGTCAATCCACAAACAGGGCAATAATAATTCTAGACTAAAATGCTGCCTATGCAAAAAATGTGGACAATTAGAAGGTGAAAGAGCTTTAACTTCAGACTGAAGTTTATTCTTCTATACAGAGTATCAAAACGATAATAATGACGTATTAGTATGGAAACATGGCATTGTACATACAAAATCACATTCAAGCACTGGCAGAAAATGTAAGTTAAAGGAACAAACATACCTGTTTACTAATGTTTCATGCAGTTTTCCTTTCATGTCACCATCCCACTTGGAAAAAACTTCAAATCTTGAAGGCCTTAAAACACCTAAAACAGCACAGTATTCTGACAGTGCCTCAACATGCTGAATAGAGGACCGCATCCTGCCTCTGAGTAAAAACCAGTGGTGTGCTGTTCCTTCAATTTACAGTTCAATGTCTGTTTTGCCTTTGTTTTTTTTTTTCTAAATCACATTGTAGGCAAGAGATACAAAATTCAGGTATCACAGCTGCTTTTGTATAGTATACAATTTCTATTCTATCATTACATAATTAGTATACTCCAGGACACAACATTATTA